ACCTGGCGCTTGCCCACCTAACCCGAGCGAGAAACCACACCTTGTCTACAACGAGTCTTTAGCGGACCCAGTGAACTTCTGCATGCCTTCACCACACAGATGGACTGCACACGACAACAAGCTCATAACAAAAAGTACAAGACAATGTGAAACGATGGAGTAATCGGACTCTCGTACAATCCACATAGAAACAAGACATCTTAAATTGAAAAAGATATGGTTTATGAATCACGTTATGGCATCGCGTGTTGAACTTTGTCCGACCAACAACGGTCACGATGAGTGCATCCTATCAGTTTGAACTTAGACTGGTAACAACAAAAGCGAACGAACGAATAGATGTCTACAGTGCATATTTTTCACTAGAAACTCATGATTAGATTGCACAACGAATAATCAGTCTGAATATGGGAAAGAAGTCAATGTTCTCAGTATACTCCGTAACAGATATTTCACTCATTTTAGATGTTATTTCCTTCTCACTGTATTCGAAATGGTTCACCTTTGTTTTCCATGAGTGGGTTAACACTTATGTGATTATTACAGCTAAAACAGTTGTATATTATGGTGGATGTCATATAATCAATTCTGTGGTTAGCCTAACATCGTAACGGAATTGAGGAATATCTGGAAACAATATGGGATAATTCGGTCAGAAAAGGTTTCCCTGAAGAAAGGTAGGTAGTTCCGAGCTAACTAGATACGTAGAACTGAAAAAGGACTGAATATCGCATGTAACGTACCGATATTGGGCCGAGGGCGTCATAAAAGATTCAAATTTCTTTGATAAATAAAAGGTACGCAAGACAGTAGATCTAAATTCCATTATAAATGAACAGTTTATAATTATAAACATTGGGAACAACCAACGGGATTAACCCAATTTTCATCGATCCGGTTAATTTGGTCACAAAACTGTCAATCGATTTTTATGCTACTTATTAGCATCCGCTACTATTTACCCTGCTATGTCGCAGTTCTTGGAATTTACCCAATTTTTCGGATTCCTGAAGGGTGAGACATAGCAGGAGATCGACATATATATATATATATTTACTGATCATTAAGCTAAGTTTGTACTGTAATGCAGACGTAACTGAACAGTGATGAAGGCCAAATATCCTGTTATGACCCGAGCAGTTTCGAATAGCAATTCCTGCATCACGCAAGAACCGTTCGCACAATTATGGGGGCATCCGTCACACTGTTTACAACAGTGTAGGCAGAAAAAAACGACCCATAACCTTAGCCTATCTGGGTATTAGTCAAAGCAATAATCGCCATACCACAGGAAAAGGAAAACGAATTTCGCTACTTAGGCTGGTACATCTCTCTTGAAAGACGAACAAGAATGGAAGTTTCGGTACTCATATTAGAAGGATCGGTTGGCATATGCCAAACAGATACCTACGGCACCACCACGATATCCGGTTTTGTGAGGGGTCAAATGTGTGCTGCTATATGGGTCAGAGACCTGGTTGTTACGGGAGGAGGATTTTCGGTGTTCGAACACCGGCTAAGCCACAGCGTCCGAATCTCGTGGAGCAATCTGACGAGCAAGGGAAGGATTACGTGTGGAAATTTGGGTAGTTGCAATAACGCATCAGTAGGAGTGCTTAATCTCCACAAATCGATGTGATTGGGACAAGTATATTGCACGTCATCGGATAGGCTATGTCGTCAAGCAGTATAGTTAGAAGGCTAAAGGTGGTCAGCCGAAAAAACCGGGATGACGGTATGAAACCCGAACCAGTGGACTCGGTTATATAGGTCGCATTTGGCTTCCGGATTTGGGACTTCGAGACCGAAAAAGCGGTGTTTCAAAATACTGGTAGGGGTTAATGTGAATCAACTCATTTTCTGTACCAATCTAGTTTAATTACATCCTGTCTTATTAGTTTCAAAGTGCCCCCAATTTACTCAACTATTCTATTTAATCATTCCACAATATTCGACCAAATGGAAACACGAAACATGGTAGCCAAAACCACGGTGAGATAATGCAAGGTTAATGGTTGTACAGATTGAAAACCATCCCAGCCCACGTTTTCAGTCTCATGATCTAACTGCGATCGACCAAGTGATTTTGTTTGTTCTGTAGTGATATGCAGAGCAATGTGTCGTAGTGGTGACTTCGTACCACCTGTTCTCTTATTCTGTTGTTTGTGAAATGAAAATGGTTAAGGAAAACGAAGTCTCGCAGTTTATTATCATCATGATCATCATTAAACGGGCATTTTTCATCCTGGTAATTACGCGTGTCGGAGAGGTCACAAATTGGAAAGAACAAAATGCGGCAGTGTTTTGTGTTGCATACAAATTTAAAAGACTAGATCACATCACAGTCGTAGGGAACGCCAAAAATGAAGAATACTGGGGAGGGGCCAAAGCAAATAAGCATAGAAAATAAGACATACATGCAAAGAGAGAATAACGACGAGCATGAAAAATGCAGTGATTTTTTCCAGCTGATAGTTGATGGTTTAGGGGTTGGGAGTGAAAAGTAAGAAATGTCGGTTAAAATGTCATCCAGATAAGTATGGAGAAATTTTGATATCGTTAGAAAAACCTGTCACGCAGGCCAGAAGAACTGCCGTGAAAGACAACCTTTTGTTGAACCACACACACGCGCACACACACACACATACAAGCACTTAAAAATATAACTAATGCAATTTTATATTCTCCAACTGTGACGCGGTATCAGTCAGAATGGTCTGACTCTTGGGCGGATTAGTATCGATCTCCGCGTAGGCAATCGGCGGGTACATGAAGTGGAAACTATTGAATTCCCTATAATTCACTTGTAACCAATCGAAGGCGGGAAAACCGATGTGCTGGATTAATTCAAGTATAGCCAGCGAATCACCTTCCGCATTATGCGCATATTTATGACTGGTCCCGAAAACACGAGCATAGATATCACCCAAATGCCACGACACTTCCTGATCCGGTTTTCGTGGACTAGATTGTGCCAACGGACCAGAAGGGATAGACTGAGAGGAAGAGGACGAACTGTCCATTGAACATCCCAAACCAGAATCGTTTAAAGAAGTCTGGAATGGTTTGAGCAAAGCCTTGAACAAATGTAAGCTGTCCGAACACAGGATTGGAGAACCGGTACTGTCAAGCAACTTGCATGCAGCCCCACAAACACTGGCCAATTCTGTACGCAGGAGAGGATAATCGAATTTGTAACCGTTTTGAGCCACAAGACACACGGGTGGATCTAATTGTTTTAGGAATGATTGAATTAGATCCGCTGCGTTAGAATCGAAAACCTTTTGATGAAACAGGTTGTCCTTGCCGAGACCTGGTGAAATAGAGATGGATGGAGAAAAAGGAGAACTGGTCAAAGTAAAATAATCTCATCCCATCGTACCTCTTCCTTGGTCGATGGGGAAATTCCCAAGGTCCAAACGAGTACTAAGGCAAGAATCAAACAAACACTCACTGGTTGGAAAAAGTTTAACATTCTTAACTTCGACTTCACAGCCATCAGGCTCATAGTGACGATCTTTCGGCAGACTTTTTGGGCGACAAACTGGAGAGGAGTAATTAAAAAAGGTCACAAACAAATATATATGAAGCAAATAAATTAGATCCGCTCGGAGAAAGATTAAATGCATAATCTGGATTGTTTGAAAACACTCAAATGCATCATTAAACGTCTCTAACCACCGATAAGGTTGGTCACGAGGTAAAAAATCAAGAGGTTTAATGTGACCTACAGCCTTAGTCAGGATACTTGAACCTTCGCTTGACATTCTCCAACGCATTGTCTGCCTCGACAAGCATTGTAACACGCGCCCTGGTCAAAGTTACCTTTAGAAACGGAGCGTTTTATCAGCGAGCGATCGCAATTATCTAGTCCTCTGTTTTCNTCAACCTTGGCATTACTTGTGTGGTTTTCCAGTTGACTCCCGAAGTGGTACCGCAGCGGAAAACCGATCAAGCAGCTGTAGCATATTCTTGACTTTACAAGGAAAACCGAATGTCGCAGGTGAGCCAAATGTCTCAGTATAGTAAACGCCAATCGAGTCTTCTATATCCATGCCGAAACGTTCTCATTCGTCCACCAGGTAAGATTTTACTGCCCAAATAGAAAACAAACCAATCAAAGTAAGGCATGAAACCTCCACCTTGACACTTTCGATAATATCGATAGTTAAAGCCCAGTTTTCCCTTCAAAGGCGACTATTTCCCTTTAGTTTTCCCTGATCATTTTATAGAACTGAAACTTCCAAATTTTCGAGCCGGAAAAGCCTCAGTCCACACCACTGACCATAGTTGGTTTTGATTAGTCCAATTTTTCAGAACCCCGAACTTTCGTGCTAATTTTCAAGGTAAAATAGCTGGCGGTGGCGCAGTGGTTTACTCGCTCTCACCGGCCTATGGTCTGAGGTTCAAGCCCCGCCACTCAACTTTGTTGGTAGGCTGCCTTGCTGTCGTCCGGTTCACTACCACTTTTAACCCAGCGGAGCCTTTAGTGGTTCGCCGCTGCAAGGTCAAGGGTTTGGTTGTCCGTTTCATCACTAAACAGCAAGTAATCATGACTATGGGATTTACCCCGTCTGTTGCTCATCACTCTAAGGTGTGTAATAAGAAAAAAGATAGAAGTGATATCATTACCCAGCGTGAATTGAAGTATTTAGGAGTACAATCTGTGTGTGCTTGTGTCGCTGGACCTATATTACATCAAATGAAGAAACTGCTATGGGAAGAAGTTATCTAAAAAAGAGCTTTATCAGTTCGTCAAAATCCGTATCGGAATGCTGGTGTCGGGTGTGTTCTCCGAGCTGGAAATGATGTCCGCAAACGTTTCCCAGTCAGACTAAGCAACATCATCAGACTTCAAGGAAGTGGCACTGATGATGGTGCCCAGTCTGGCTACAAAAAGTGAGCGAACAGCTTGGAGAACACACTCGACACCAACATTCTCATCCCGAGATACAATTATTTTATAATATAACCATTTAGCATGAGCGTTTTGTGGTGTTGAGTTGCAGGGGCTCAACCCCACCATTATCAGTGTGTTTCTAACATGCTTTAGCCTGTTCAGAGAAATAAATATTGTGGTCATGTTGGTGCGACTTTTTCTAGATTGTTAACAAAATTTGTTCGATAGCCTCCATCCATAACACACACACACCTTTCAGTGTGCAAATCCCGCTACAACTACCAACTTATACCACCTCCCGTATGTGAGTACAAAAACCCTGATACACGATCTTGCCCGGATTTGACTAATAATATAAAAATTAGTGTAAAATCTCTATAATTCCTTTGGCAATTGATCCGTATTTTGTACAAAGAATCTCCTTTTTAAAGTGTCAGATCCGAACAACGTTCGGAGCGTATCGAAAAATCGATGCGCCACGTGATGTTTTATATAAAATCGCCTTGATAAAGGTTACCCACGGTAACCAAAACGTCGGCTTATTTTCACCTGTACCGACATCGCTGTGTTTTCAAAATTACAACTTATATAAATCCTCTTTTTATTTTACCAGAATTGTAACGGTGGTGCCTTTTGGCTGAAAGCCTGTCTATAAATAGCTCCGGTTTGGATACAGATGCCCATGCACTGCAGTTGGTGACCCGATGAATTAGTGTTCAACCGATTGGAGTTAACCGCCCAGATGCCATTTTTATCGGTAAACTAGAAAAGTGGTGATAGCGGAGGGGTTTAAAACTACCACCTGGAGGAAAAGTGAGTGGTATTGTGACTTAATCTGTTAGACCAAGTTAACCTGATATCTAGATAAAAATTCAATTCGAGGTATGTGTCGTGGAAAAATAGAGATAATGTGGACGCAAAACTGAACCTTAAAAAGCGCTCCCAGAAATAAAAATTAAAAAATCAATTCACTGTAAAAAGTTATCCATGTTATCTTCATTGGGTGAACGATGTAGTAAAATTATCACCTCAGAGAAAATGGTTTTGTTTGTGAAAGTAGGGCTGAATAGGAAAGAAGCCAAAGTGGGGATCGGGTACTATGAATGTATGCTGTATGAGTTTGGTGTTCACATAGACAGTACTCGGTATCGGACAGAAGTTTCTGCAAGTTTGATATCAGGTGACAAAGTGCTGGCACATACGGAAGTTAACGAAATCACTGTAGTATCATTCTACTCCCTAAAGCAGAACTGGCCGAACTGCTGCAGCAAATACTCGACACTTAACAGAAAGCAGGATATCGCCACGGTCCCACAAATGTATCAATTGGCAAATGACAACCTTGTGTATGAGTACCGATACTTCATCTGTGATGCGTCCGCCAGCTAACATATGGCTGCCCAGATAGCAAAATTTCTCCTTCCTCTACCGCTTCCCCAGTCAGGGTGAGACTGGGTTCTGGACCAACCCAATCTCGTAGTAACATTTTGCAATTTCAAGGTGCAAAACGCATACCGAACATGGCTATACTAGCACTCAAACTATCCAGAAAAGCTTGTAATTTACTTGGATCTTCACTTAAGAGCACAATGTCGTTCTCATACTCTAGATCAGACAGTCTACCATCTGGGAGTAAACCGATACCGCTATCCTCGCACGAGGATAGGGCTGTTTCAAGAATTACATCTATCACGAAGTTAAATAGAAACGGACAGAGAGAGGACAATCCTGTCAAACACCACTTTCCGTGGTCGACTAAATCGAAATCCGCTTTAAGATCGAGGGAGATAGAAATGGTGGGTATACGAAATTATTGTCCAGTGAAGTTCGAAGAATTCTCCCACCGTCAGGAGGAAGCTCCAGGTACCCCGCTCCTACGTCCATCTAGCGGGTTTTATAATCGATAATTTTTTCCTTCCCATGTTTTTTGCTAGAGTGACCTCTTCAGGGTTTTACAGCCGCAGATCCAACTATGCCTGAAAGGTCAATGGGTAGAGGCCAGGCGAGGCTAGGCCTCACAAGGCCAGCTGTTCGGGCACATCCTGGCTTTCTTGTCCATCCACGCTCACCCCTGGAGAGGTCAGTTCAGAAAAAATACATGGCGAGGAGCAGTTTAAACGTATACAAATCTCGCTAGATAGACGTAGGAGAAGGATACCTAGGGCTGGAGTGTATAAGCCTAAGTGCCCATCAATCTTTTTCAGTTTCAATTTGTACAACCATTATCCGTGCACTTTCGTAAGCCAATCCCAAACAACGAACCAGTGCACCAGCGAACATCACAATGAACTGAAACCCGAAGGCGTTTGTGTGACAGGTTTCTAGAAGTGCTTCGGTCACGCCCCGCGTTGGATTTACGCTACACTGTCTTATAAGTCAGACCTTTGAGTCGAAGGCTACGGTTAGGGTTTCTCAAGAAAAACCCCTTCGTCAGTGTGGGGAACTGCGAAGTACGTCGTGCTCTAAAGTATTAGGCAATCATCTGAAGAAACTTCTTTCCCATTTATCTAGTTCTTACTCTGAATCTCGAATAGTCTCATATGCCTCCCGTTGAGGTCAGCCATCGGATATTAATCAGCGTTTTACAAAAGTCAAATAATCAGAAGTTATCGGATTTTTGAAGCATAAATTCCCTTTTCACATGGGCGCGTTTAACGTCCGCACAGTATACCAGATCGGTCAACAAGCAGTCTGAGCAATAACACTTGAAACATTCAATTTACACGTACGTTGTGCCTCCAAGACACGCATAGAAGAACCCGATTCAATCATTTCTCTGTGTTCTCCTGACCCAACCTCATCCTCACGCCTCACCATTCGTGTATCAGGCGATTCGGCATCCGACGCTCGCGCTGTTGCTGCTGTTGGAATTGCTTATTCTTTGTAAAGGTGCATGCACCGACCGATTGCAGTGCACCTGAAATCAAGAATGATTTTTACAAGGATCTTTATCAATTACTCCCAAGATCACGAAAACCTTCAAGCACCGTGAAAATTGGTGAACAACAGCTAGTGAAATGGAAGTGGCAGCTGCATCACGGAATAGTCAAAGACTGTTCCGACTGATACGCAATACAGGAGGTCGGTAAACTCTAGTTATTGAAACAATCTGCGATAAGAGGGGACAAGCTATTCACAATAGCGATCAACGGCTTGATAGCTGGGCGGAATAATTCAGCAAAAATTTCAGCTTGCCTGCCGCCAGCGGCGTTACTTCATCTGCAACTGCAGCTCTGTGTACAGTGTCATGCGATTCTCCAGCAGAACCAGAAGTTCGGTCTTACACGCAAACTCTGAAGTGAGGAAAGGCAGCAAGACCGAATGAGCTCCCCCCCCCACTCTCTTCAAGATGGGGACGTGACATACATATTTAATATATTTAACACCGGATTCAGAACAAGCATGGTGCCA